AAAAACAAACAAACAAACAAAAAACCTCTGACTTTGTGGAACTTGTAATAAAATTCGAAAACTCTTGGTGGGACTATAAGGCACAACCATTTTCAATAAGTTTCTCTTGAAACTGACAGCTTGTTTTTGAGATGATAACTTAGAATTTTAAGTTATTCTAGAAGGTCAGAGGATGTTTGGTCATAATTCACTTAAAAAATGCAGGGCCAGCAGGTGGCATGGTGGTTAAGGGTGCTGGACTCCCACAGAGCTGACCACAGTTCAAGTCCTGAACCTGGCAGCTTGTTTTCTTACTTTGTCTCTCTCGCTCTCTGGTCAAATTACATAATAAGTAAAATAAAATAAATAATTCTTTAAAAAAAAGTTGAAAATGTCAGGGAAGTCCCATCACCTTTCTGGAACCTACTTACCAGAGACAATTTTCCCAGGTAAAAGAACAATTTAAGAGACTGGACACTCCTGCGCTCACTGCAAGCTGCCACCAGGAAACCTGAACGGTGACCAGCCCGGCAGCAGGAGCACAAGACACGCATGCAGCCTGGAGACAGGGTCACCTGCGGGTATCTGGCCCCTGGGCCCACACAGCTTGCACCAGTCACTTCCACCTCTACAATGACAGTTTCAACTCACCTGCTCCTCTAGCGACCCCACTCCATCCCTCCCCAACAGCCCATCCGCGTGTGCAACAGCCTTCCTGCTACTGTCAGTGTCCTCATGGCCCCTGGTTCATATATTCCCCATCTTCAACTTTGTTTAGACCTCTAGTGCCGGAAACACCACATTTTCTCCTAAATTGTTGACACATTTCTGGCTTCTAATTCCCTAAAAATCTCCCCTGGACCATGTGACCCCTCACTCTTAGTCACTGATCTCAACATTTTTAGTTCTTGTCTTTGCTCTCTCATCTCCTTATTCCCGATCAGACATGTAGTTTCTCCACTGTCGGATCAGCTACTCTGTGCTCCTGGAATGACCTCACTTGACAATTCAGACTACACGTACTACAATTTCAAGGTCTTTAATCTCACTTAGCTCCTCAGAATTTTCCTTCAGTCTTTCAACGCTGCCCAGATTAGCACCCTTTGGTTATTAAACAACACCTGAAAAAAGGAGATACATACCACTTCTCTTTTTTAAAAAAGAATTATTTTATTTAACTTTATTTATTTACTTACTTATTTTAATTTGACCAGAGAGGGACAGGACGAGAGGAGAGAGAGAAAACAAATGCCAGGTCCGGGACTGGAACCCTGGTTGGCTATGTGGGAGTCCAACGTCCTTAACCACCACACCCTCTGCCAGCCCGTACCACGTTTCTTAAAGTGATATTATTATAGTAACATCAATTCTGAAATTATAATAAACTTGGTATTCCCTTTTTATTTAGATTAAGTTATTTTAAGCTCATATGGAAGCATAGAAGCATGAGGACTGACACCTGGACAGTGAGAGCACATTTCCCCCACTAGTTATTAAAGTTATTACAAAACAGCTATAATCAAAGAAGTCTGATATTTGCATTAAACAGATAAGGAGATTAGAAAGGAAGAGATGGTCCAAAAATATATATATGGAGACTTAAAACAAAGATGGCATTCTCATATAAACAAAACAAAAAGGCCTGGCGGTGGGGTGCAGGTAGTAGAGTGCAGCTGTGTGTACAAGAGCTACATGGGAGGCCCTGGGTTCAGATCCTGGGTCAGCCTGAACAGTGACACTGACTGAAAGCCTGGGAGTAGGGGGATGGCCTCTCCCTCTCTCTCCCTCTGTCAATGCATAAATAAACTTAAACAACAACAACTGAATAGTGAAGAAAGGCAAGTTGAATAGCCAATTGAAATAAAATCGAGTTAGACCCTTACCAAACACAATATGTAAACATGAATGTATCAAAGGGCTCTCTTTTAAAACTTTTCTTAAAAAGAGAAATGATCAGGGCTGGCTAGTGGCTGAGGCTCTGGGTGAACTCCCTCCCACATGGCCAGCGGCAGTTGAAGCCCTGGACGCGGTGGCTTGAAAATCACACTAGGTGCAGTGCGTGTACGTGCATGCCCAAAATCCAGAGAGGAGAATGGACGAGAAGGAATTTTCTCTCTGTGTGTGTCTCTGTCTTTCTCTGGCAAGTGCACATGCACTATGGCAAAAACTATAAAAACAAAATAATAAAATAAATGATCTCTTTAATATAAAGCCCAATGTTTTAAAATATTATGTTGTAGGTATAATCAAGTAAAATCGTATTTTGATATTTAAGTGATATTAATTATAGCTTGAGGGCTATACAGGAATGATATATTAGTTATACAGATTATTGCTTAATTAGAATTTCTATTCCTATTATCTTATTTTCTGGCTAAAAGAGGTAAGGAGTGCTATACTTTAATCTCCAAGTGAGCTAAAGGAAATACTCTGATTGATATAAATTAATCCTATAATTAAAATTTGAGGGGCCAGCAGGTGGCATAGTGTTGCCAAACTTCCACATAGCCCATCTGCAGTTCGAGTCCCGGATCTGGTGACTGGAAACTCACACAGGGTACATGTGCATGCATACTTAAAATCCTAGGAGGAGAATGGAGAAGGGACTATGGTGTGGCCATCCCCCTGGGAGGGTGATTTCTCACTTTCTCTCTCACTGTTTTTCTGTCTCTCTGGTGAGTACACATGCCTTATAACAAAAACTTAAAAAAAAATTGAAAAGCATATTTGTGTTAATACATGTCAGACTCCTATGAAAATTTCCTAAACATTATTCTATGGCCTCTCTACATACTTCTTCAGTATATTCTTTGTATGTGGAAAGCTTAAATAATTCTATTTAAAATATGAAATAAAAGCTATGCACAGTCCCTAACTTACAATGGGACAATTTTCTGACTTCACAATGATACAAAATGATATGCATTCAATAGGAACTGCACTTCCAAGTGTACTCATACAACCATTTGGTTATGACTTTCTTTACAGTATTCAATAAATTACACAGACTCATCACTTTCTCATAAAACAGACTTTGTGTTAGAAGATTCTAGCCAATGATAGGCTAATGTGAGTGTCTGGAGTGCACCAAACAGAGGCTCGGCTAGGCTCTGCTGCTGGGCAGGGTAGGCATATTAAATGCGTTTCCAACTGGAACACGGTCCCATCTCAATCCCTTCTCCATCCTTTCATCTTGCCAGAATTTTGGACACACATGCACGTGCCTGGTGTGTTTTTCCATCTGCTGGATCTAGGACTTGAACTGTGTGATGGCCATGGAAGATCTGGCTACCTTAACCACCAGGCCACAGAGCTGGCCCCCAATAAGCTTTCTTATGAGGAATACCAATGTGTGTGGGGTTTAGGTAGAGTACTCAGAACTGCTCATACACCTGGGGATACGTGCCGTGTGGTGCATGTGTCACAGAAGAAAAGAGGCTGAGCCGCTGGAGCACTGCAGACCATGGCGGGAGTGACCGTCCAGCTTTTATGACAAATTGCTTTCTATTACCCGGGAAGGACTAAGTTTGTGTGCTGGCTGCTGGGGACACCAGTGGTCAAAATAATCAGAATCCCTTTTGCTCATGAAACTTACATTTTAGTGGGGACGGCAGGAAAACAACTAGTTACCAAGTAGTTATGTAATCCTAACTATGGTAAGTACTAAGGGGGCTGTAGGGGTCCTGACAGAGAAAAGAGGTATCTGTTCTAGTCTCTGGGGTTAGGTAAGGCTCTGGGAGATGTGAAGTTTAGACTCTGCGTAGGGGTCCTGAGAGAGAAAAGGGGTATCTGTTCTAGTCTCTGGGGTTAGGAAAGGCTCTGGGAGATGTGAAGTTTAGACTCTGGTCCTCTAGGGGAGAGCCGGAGTAAGTGAGGGCAGGACACGGAAGGGGCTTCGGGGCAGAACAGCGGCACTCCGAGAAAGGCTCTGAGGTAGGAAGTAACTGAGCTGAAGCACGAGGCCGCGGCACCTGAAGAAGATGGCAGGTACTGGGGTAAAACAGGAAGGTGGGCAGAGGGCCCAGCTATATTATATGATCTAGACTTTTTCCTGTGAGAAACAGGAAACCACTGACAGGCTTATTTAATTAGGAAAATGTATGAAAAGATTTTTATTTTCTGTTCTCTATCTTTTTTTCCCTTTATGGCATAGAAAGAAGAAGAGGGAGTGAGAGAGGGAGAGAAAGAGACAGAGAGAAGGAAAGGGACAATGAAAGAGAGAGCTATTTTTGACAGGGTTTCCCTGTCGTGATCCTCCTGCCTCAGCCTCCCAGTTAGGACTGCAGGTGCATGTAACCCACCTGGCACGTTCAGGCTGGCCAGGCAGCCGGCCTCTGTGCACCGCTGCAGCTGGGCTATTTCTATCTATCTACACACCTACACACACACACACACACACATACACACACACACCTGAGATTTGCTACGAGGGCTCATGAATCACCAGAGAGACAGAGAGACAGAGAGCGACAAATACAGTTCTCTAATGGAGCTCGTGCCCTGAGAGGACCACAGTGCATACCCTGACTCCTCCGGAAATGCAGAGATGGCGCTTCCATTCATCTGGCAGGGGTCCTGAGAAGGGGAGTCGGAGTCTTTCCTGTCCTGATTTGCAGCAGTGTTGGCCACTCGTTGTTGCAAGTCCCACTTTCGAGCTACATTGTTAATTGTTAATCTTTTCTTCTCCTATAAAAAAGTTAATTGTGACAAAAATTATATAAATGCAACTTTTGCAGCAGAAGAAAGTATCCAAAGAGCATGCTGTTTGTACCTGTTTATCATACTTTCAGAAGCAGCCACTTTCCTATAATTACTACCCAACATACATTCTAAGCAAAGTTCAAGAAGTCTGTTCTTAAACTGTGTATTCAAACATCTCAGTAATAATAAAGGGGAAAAAACCTATTTATAGAAGAAAACGATTTCTTGAGGACTTAATTTTATTAAAAATAAATATGTAACACACTTGACATGGAAAATTCACTATTTGAAATTTTAATTTGATGGAAGTTTATACGCCTCTGTGTTTAAACATAGCAAGAAAACACTAATATACTAAGTATTATTAGCTTAAGCTTCCTAGCCAATAATTAGGACTAATATGAGAGTAACACTGGCGGGGAAGGGGAAGAGAGAGACTGATCAGCGTTTCGAGCTTCACAGCATAAATGATGATGTCTGAAAAATTTTATCTAGACTTGGAAAGAAACTGTACTAGACTGAAATGCTTCTAGACAACTAGTCCCATCCTACCAGTAGATGAATAGAAAGAAATTACTTTGTCTGGGCAGCGGGCACTTAGGGCAGCAGTTCTCAGACGTTCTGCCGTTGGCCTCACCGAGGACTTCGGGACAGCCTGCTGGGCCTGCGCCCAGTGTGAGTAGTGTCTGGGGGGCCTGTGTGCGCCCAAGCGCTGCCCACGCTGCCCACTCACAAAGCTCAGGGTGCCAGCCGCTGACCGAGAGTGGTCCTCTCACAGAAACCCTGTGAGTAAAGTAGATTAGGCTCCTGAAAGCCAGCCGGGCAATATTCAGTTTTTATATACTGATTGGAAAAATAATCCCGATTGTGATAAACTCCCACTATAAAAAGCTAACGTTTTCAAACGACTTATCGATTAAATCGGGATGCTGAAAACACACGTTCCCTTTCCTCTTCACTGAGAGTACAACCCTCCACTGAGACAGGAGCTGAGTGTGGTACCGACCCTCTGCCTGCTTGCTCTGGCCTTGGGAAAGGGGGCAAGTGGTAGGGAGATCCTCTACCAGTCCTCAGAACATACGGGCAGGCTAAATAACTGTTTTCACTTGTATGTCTGCCTGTGTTGATTACCTAAAATTTTAGCATATATGCATGGCTGGAAAGGATAAAAAGCGAACTGGTCTGCTCAGTTAAAACTAAAATTGGGGGACCAGCAGGTGGCAGTAGTTAAGGCACTGGTCTCCCACGTGACTGAGCACTCTTCAAGTCCCAGACCCAGTGGCTTGAAAATCATACCAGGTGTGTGTGCATGCAAGCCCCAAATTCTGAGGAGAAGGGACTGCAGCACTGCCGTCCCCCCAGGGGGTGATTCGCCACGTTCCCTCCCTGTGTCTCTCTCATGTAAGCACGTGCATCCTATGGCAAAAAGCTAAAAACAGCAACGACAAAACACTAAAATTTAAGTTGGCATGGTAGCTTAAAGGAGCCATATCCCAAATGGCTGACAATGGTTTGAATTTTGGCCCTGGTGGCTTTAAAAACATTCCAGGGGGACCACCAGCTGGCGTAACGGCTATGTTGCTGGACTCTCATGTAGTCGACGGCTGTTCTAGTTCCGGACCCAGTGGCTTAAACTCATGAGAGAAGAATGGAGGAGAAGGGATTGCGGCATGACCATCCCCCCTGGTGGGTGATTTCTCACTTTCTGTCTCTCTGTCCCTCTCTGTCTTTCCGGCAAGCGCAAGCGTCCTATAGCAAAAACCTCTCCCCACCAAAAAAAAAAAAAAATTCCAGGCAAATCCTGATGGGTTGGAGAAAAGGAAGAAAAAGGATTCTGGGATGAGCACACCCCAGGATGGAGGGGGAGGTGCTTTCTCTTTCTCCCTTCTCCTTGCCCTCTCTTTGTCTCCATCTCTCCCTGGAGAACACACACGTCCTCTGGCAATTAAAAAAAAGACTTTTAAAAAGTTCTATTTTGTGTTTAAAATGTTTTCAGTCTAGGTTCTTTCTTTCTTTTTTTTTTTTTTGAAATTTCAAATTAACCTTTGCAAAGGATCTTGTAAAAAATTCATGGAAAATGTATGTTATGTAAAAAATATGCAAGAAGTTCAAAAATATTTCTACCTTAAATAAATCTGTACTTTAATTCCATCTTTCCATGAACATTTTATTTGTTTTGCTTTTAGATGTTTGCTGTAGGGTGCATATGCTAGCCCAAGAGAGACACAGGACACAGAAGGAAATGAGCTGTGGAATCGGCCGCATGGGACGTGATGCCCTAAGTGCCACACCACCGCTGGCCCCTCCATGACCACTTCAAAGTCCCCTGTACAGGTAAGGGGATCGCGCTTAACACGGGTGCCTCAGTGCTGTCTTGGCATCCCGTCTGTCCTTATCTGAAGGAACGAGGGCTCTGCTGTGGGACGTGATGCCCTAAATGCCACACCACGCTGGCCCCTCCATGACCACCTCACAGTCCCCTGTACAGGTAAGGGGATCGCGCTTAACACGGGTGCCTCAGTGCGGTCTCGGCACCTCGCCTGTCCTTATCTGAAGGAACGAGGGCTCTGCTGCGCACTGCCGAACGTCCTTTCCCTGATCTCTAAGAAGTGCCTCCCTCAGGGAATTCTGTGTTGTTATTTTCTGATGACTGTGGCAACCCAACTCTTAGTCTACGCAGTGCTGCTGTTCTCACTCGGCACCATGGCCATTCTGAACGAGGCTGGCTCTATGCATCTGGCTTTCTGGCTGACAGGAGGTGGCAGAAAGAAATACTTTCCATGAAGTAGATAAAGTAATGCTTGGAAAAAGGAATAACATGTCTTTATGCCATTGACTATATTATCAAATTACAAGATAGTCTCTGAAAAATGCAAACACCTTTCTATACCCAAGGTGGAGTTGAACTTCCTTTACGGGGGTTAATAAAGCCAGATCAACTCCACATTGATTAAGAGAATGCCTCATTTTACTGCTGCCAGGAGAAGAAAAGTGATTTAAAAAAATCTTTTAAGAATTGTTCATTTAACTTTATTATTATTTTTAAAATTTGCTCTAGGGCACATGCACTCACCAGAGAGAGACAGAGTAAGAAAGCAAGCCACGAGGTCCGGGACTCAAACCATGATCAACCATGTGGGAGTTCCAGCACCTCAACCACCATGCCATCTCCTGGCCCAGGAAAGAGACAGGAGTATAGCCTGGGGTCAGGTGAAGGCCACAACAGGGCTTCTAGGCATGAGTGGAGCAAGAAAAGAAGCAAAAGGAAGGCTGGAGAGTGACAGAGATTGTGATGCAGAAGGGGTACCCAGACAAAAGCTTATCCCACAGATCATGGAGGCACTTAGCACGCCGGCTACAGCTGTTCCCAGCAGCTAGCTGGAGTAAACTGCCCCGTCTTGTATCTTGTTAAAGCACTTTAGAAGATGTCAAATTTCAACATCTGCTGTTGGAGTCCATAGCAGTAACTATCTCCCTTCATTTACAAGGTTAGAAAAACAATGGAAGATGGAAGAGCAATGAGGCAGAAGACATATCTCTCTACATACTCCTCCTGTACCACTCCTGGTGAAGGACACGTGAACTGCACGAGAACCCTTGGCCAATTCTGAGCTAGGACTAGAGCCAGCGTCTCTTGATTCCTTATGCTTTTGGTTTTATTAAAAATTTAAAAAGTTAAATAATCCCAACTAAGGAATCCTGGCCAACCACAATGGTACAGGCAGTAGGGCAGGGCTGTGTGAGGCTGGGGCTGCATGGAAGGCTGGGGTTGGGATCCCAGACCAACCTAAAACAGGCCAGGTATAATACCCTGCCTGTACAAGGATATTTCAGAAAGTTTATGGAAAATACAACTCAAATATGAATTTCTTTAGGTGCAAAAAGTTTTTTAAATCCATGAGTGTTTTTGTTTTTTTAATGTGCACTTTCCTCAAACTTTTTGAAAACCCTTTCATAATCCTAGCTAACTGACAGGCTGGACAGAGGGTCACAACAGCAAAAGCCTGTCAGAAACCCCTCTCTTGCCTTTTCTTTCTGTTTCTCCTTCCTCCCCTCTCTCAAAAAAAGATTAAAAAAAAAAGTTTGAGTAGAGTGACCATTAGCTATTTCCCGAAGTTTTCATAAAAATGTTCCAAACTCTTAAAAAATGTTTGTTAAAAAGTTAGTGGCACATTTTCCAAGGGGTAAGCAGCACTCCTCCCTTCCATACTCTACGGCTCTTGGAAAGAGGTTCTGCAGACCTAAAAATTCTGCCATCTATCTATCACCTGTCTGCCTATCTGTTTGTCTATCTGTCTGTCTATCTATCTATCATGTGTTTATTTTTATTCATTCATTTATTCATTTACTTAGGAATCTGACAACAGTAACTACATGAAGGGAGACACTACATTTTTCTAAATCATTCCAAAGGTTGGCATAAAGGTATTTTAGGTCTTTTCTCCAAGTACTACTATATCTACCTCATTAGTGCCTAAAGCATTACTGGCAAACTTGGTCCTATACATCTAAAAATACTAACAAGAGCTGTATTTCCTCTAAGCCAGGTATTTTTGACCAACCCTTAATGATATTCCAGTATAGAAAAGCTTAACGTCCCACTGACTGAACTGGCGAAAGGGCAGAGACGTCAGGAGAGGACTCGGGCACAGCTAATAAACGGGGTGGGTGTTATCAGATGAAGGTTGGGAAGACTCAGGAGGTTGTCGACAACAGCAGGTGAGGAAATTGCAGCACATTAAGCGACAGCTCAAAATACCTTGGCAAGTGTAGTTCCGAGCAGTGAGGGGTTGGGCAGGGTTTCATTTTTGGTAACTGAGCAGTCTCCACAGAGGTTCCCACAGGGGTTTTAGGAACACCGTGAGATCAGTTCCAAACTAGTGCACCTGTGTGACCCGTGTCCCTGTCGAGACGCAGAACATTTCCAACGCCCCACAAGTTCTCTGCTTTCCTAAGGTTAATACATACAATTTTTGTCCCTACTAGTCTTTTTTAAATTCAGAAAGTCATTTTAATTTAAAGAAGTAAAAGCACCTCAACAAGCATGCGTTACAGTAATGAGGGTGGTACTGTTTCCTTAGAACACAGCATGACGCAGAATATGAGCTACAGACTTTAATTTGTCTCTATTATACTTTACGACGTTATTATATGTAAAAAGAAAGCATTTTAAGGAAAGTAATATCTGACATGATTTAAATAATTTAAAGTCACTGTGAAACACATTTTCTTTCCTTAATTCCTCAAAAATTTTACCACTTTTATATCAGAGGAGCTCATAGGAAAACTTTACATTTATAAAGCTATTATTGAAAGAAAAAAACTGGGGCCGGCGGGTGGCATTATGGCTAAACTACTAGATTGCCACACGGCCGATGACGGTTTGAGTCCCGGTCAGGAAGGCTTAAGAATCACACTGGGCACTTGGTGTGCTTGCCAAAATTCCAAAGAGGAAAATGGGGGAGATGGGATTATGGCATGACCATACCCCCTACGGGGTGATTTCTTTCTTTCCCTCTCTCTGTCTCTCTCCAGTGAGTGCATGGTGTATGCCACCCTATGGCAAAAACCAAATAAGTATATAAATAAATAAACAAACGAACAAATTAGCAAACAAAAAGCCATGTAGCAAAGCTCATTACTCTATGAGTAAAACTGGCAATCTAGGACAGTGCTTTCCGAAACGAAACACACATGCCTTGGGACATACAGGATGATGTATCAGTACGAAGGGGTCTTCAAAAAGTCCACAGAAAAAGCGTATTATGAAAAAACTGCATAGATCCCAATTTCTAAAAAAGTTATTTTACTTATTATTCTTAAAATATGCAATAGGGTACATGTGCTCGCCAGAGAGAGAATGAGAGGGAAAGTGAGAAAGCAAGCCTCCAAGTGGGGTGATTTCTTTCTTTCCCTCTCTCTGTCTCTCTCCAGTGAGTGCATGGTGTATGCCACCCTATGGCAAAAACCAAATAAGTATATAAATAAATAAACAAACGAACAAATTAGCAAACAAAAAGCCATGTAGCAAAGCTCATTACTCTATGAGTAAAACTGGCAATCTAGGACAGTGCTTTCCGAAACGAAACACACATGCCTTGGGACATACAGGATGATGTATCAGTACGAAGGGGTCTTCAAAAAGTCCACAGAAAAAGCGTATTATGAAAAAACTGCATAGATCCCAATTTCTAAAAAAGTTATTTTACTTATTATTCTTAAAATATGCAATAGGGTACATGTGCTCGCCAGAGAGAGAATGAGAGGGAAAGTGAGAAAGCAAGCCTCCAAGTACAAGACTTGAACCATGGAGATCGGCCATGTGGACGATCCCATCCCCCCACCACACCACCTGCTGGTCTCAAGATTCCAATTTCTTTTGCACCATATTTTAACTCCATTTTTGCATTACATTTTTGAAGCATCATAACTTCTGCCATATTTATTTTTCATCTCTTCCTGTTAAATTTTCTAACTTTTGCATGTGTTTTATAATGCGCATTATAGTTCTCATGTACGGATTTACTTACAGATAATAATTTATAAATATTTGAGGGGTGTTTGCTTACCAAAAACCATTCTATTGACTGGAATGAAAAATGAAACAATGACAAAGATTAGAAACCACTTTGCCAGTAGACTCACTAGCTAGTGTCAGGGTGTGCATGTGCGTGTACACAGGCATGAGCACATCAGAGAAAATACCTTAAGCAAAGACTGTTTATGACTTTCTCGTTTCTTCTCTTCTTCTTTCTTGGCTACCACAGATGCGATACGCCTTTCTTCTTCCTGGAAAATATTTTACGAAAATATTATGAGGTGTTTACCCATTTTTTTAATGCTGAATATCTTTGGTCTTGGAAGTCCGGTTTCCTTTTTGAGAAGCATACTACTCTGTAACAGAAAATACGTTCACAAAGAAAAAGTATGTTTTTCTTCATTTTCTTATTCCTGCTAAATCCAAGAAAACTGTATTTTTAATTCTACTCCCAACTCTGGAGGTGAGATGAACCTAACTAATAGAAGAATGAAAGAGAAATGAAAAGAGAAAGGAGAAAAGGGGGAGCAAGTTGTTTGTATAATTTTTCTTTGTATACCATGTACCATAGATCCACATATACTTAAACTTTTTATAATCAAGATAAAAAGTAAAAATGTTACTTACAACAATTTCAGTTTGATCTATGATTGCAAATCAGAGCTTTATTTGATGATGAAACAAACCGAAGAGATTTTTAAAACATTTCATTGACATCAAGAAATTATTCCTCATATAATTACTTTTACTTTGTGTTTAAGTTGATTTGGTCAACTCCCTCCCTCCCTCTCCTTTCTTTCTTTCTCTCTATTTTCCTTCCTCCTTTTCTCTCTCTCTCTCTCTCTTTTCATTCTTTTCCTCTTTCTGCTATATGGTGTGTGTGTGCTTGCTGGAGGGAGGGAAGGAAAGTGAGAAAACATCCACCAGGGGGCTGACTAACCCAGTCCCTCCTCTTCCATTCTCCTTTCTGGATTTGGGCATGCACACACATGCTCCTGGCATGTTTTTCAAGCCACCAAGTCCGCTAGGTGGGATCCAAGCTGCCTTAACCACCATACCATCTGGCTGGCCCTGTCTCATTTCTTAAATTCTAAAAACTATGAAATACAGCATGGTGACTACAGCTACCAATCCTGTATTATGTACTTGAAATTTTCTGAGAGAAGATTTTAAATGTTCTCACAATTAGGTAAGGTGATAGATGAGTTAAACTACTTTGAATGTGGTACTGACTTCATAATACGTATATATTATACATGTACACCAAGCATGTTATATACCTTAAATATATACAATTTTATTTGTCAATCATACCTCAATAAAACCAGGAAAAAAAAATCTATAAAATAACATTACGGTTATAAACTTTTTTTTTTAGAGAGAGATTTTTGCTATAGGGCCTGCACACTTGCTGGAGAGACAGAGAGACAGAAAGCAAGAAATCACCACCCGGAAGGATGACCATGCCGCAAGCCCTTCTCTTCCATTTTCCTCTTGGGATTTTGGGCACGTACACACATGCGCTTGGTGTGAGTTTTAAGCCTCTGGGTCCTGAACTTTAACTGTGGTTGGCCATGTGGGAGTCCACTGATATAACCATTATACCATCTGCTGGTCTCAGTTTATAAACTTTGAAAAAATCAGTCATGATCCCAACAACCTAACTCAAATCAAATTCTTATGTATCAGCTTACATATTCACTATGAGCAAATTACTAACATTTGCAATTTGTGTAAATAATTTGGATAATATTTCCCCTAAAGACTGTCAAATTTTAATAAACTATAATCATGTAACTTTTAATTGTCAAAAAATGTGTAGGTAATCAAAATGGTATCACAATTGGAGAAAATAATTTCTTCATAAAAGATAAATCCTTGAAAACAGTTTCAGAGATAGAAACAATAAAAAAGCAATCAATTAAGCAGATTTAAAGAACTCTTTTAGGAATGAGAAATTATTGGGTCATTGGAAAAGTCATGACATTTTTCTATGCAAAAATACATCATGACTTTTCCAATGACCCAATGAAACAACTGAAATTAAAAATTCAATGGAAGGGTTTAAACAGCAGATTATATATAACTGAAGAGAGAATCATTCAACTGGAAAGCAGATCAGGAGAAATTTTCCTATATGCTTACATAGTACTCTGTTCTTCATCATCGCACTTAACCTGTTTCATTTAAGTACCTCAGGCACTATCCTTCCTGCCTCCCCTAATACTGTAAGCTCCATGAATACATGGAGCTTGTGAGATTTCAGGCCACATTGTGAGACAGTAGTACTTCCTGAACCCTTGAAGTTAGGTATGGCCATGTAACTTGCCTTGACGAATGTTAAATAAATAAAAATGACATTTATAATACTTCTGGGTGGAACTTTTCAAAGACGATGCATAAAACGGATATTTTATCTCCTATCTCTAGTACCATACCTACAAAGCTCCAGATAGTTTATACTTGGAAGGTCTAAATCCTGGAATGAGGATAATAAAGAACAAAGATCCCAGACAACATATTAAGGGCAGACAGGTAGTATGAAACTTAAACTTTGTTGCTTTAATCGACCTTGGTGAGAGGAGTTGTTACTGCAGCACAATTTAGCCTATCCTTACCATTATATATGTTATGTTAGAATTAGGGAAGAACAAAGAGGCTATAAAGATGTACTCTAGAACATGGGCCATTATATGTGTCTCTGTAGACAAAGAAATGACCAAGGCTAAAGAAGTATACTTTAAAATGCTCACACATAAATTATCACGAAATTAAAAAGAAAACTAGTAAGGTATCCACTAGGTGACTGTAACTTTAACAAAAGAAAACTAATGCTTTGATAAGTTAGCAATTAATTTGAGATCACACAGCTATTAACAAAGCCAGGGTCAAGAGAAGAAGACAGGTCTTAACAGAAATGGAATATATGTATTGTAAAATTTTTTTTATAATACTACTACAAAATATATTTTTAAAGTTATATAAAAGAAGTGAGAATTTAATGTGAATTTAAAGTGTCCTGGGCTGGTCCCATGAGTGCTGAGGTTAAGTTCCATGCCTTGAAAACTGGATCCCATATGGCTGGCCATGGTTTGAATCTCAGCTTCAGTGGCTTGAGAAACACAACAGGTACATGTATAAGTGTGTCCCAAATCCTGATGAGAAAGAGAAATGGAGAAGGGATTGCAGCATGATCATGTCTCACTGGGAGATGCTTTCTTTCTCTCCCTCTCTTTCTCACACTCTAACATATGTGCCCTCCGACAATAAATAAAATAATAATAAAGTGCCTTTTACAATATGAAAAATAATTCTTCTTAAAGACTAAATAGCATGAATTAGGAGAAATAGGCTAAATTAAAAATTCAGAACTCTGGAGACCAGCAGTTAGCGTAATGGCTATGTCGCTGGACTCCTATGTAGTTGACTATGGTTCAAGTCCTGGACCTGATGGCTTAAACTCAATGCTGGGTTTGTGTGCGTGCGTGCCCAAGATCCTGAGAGGAGAATGGAGAAGGGATCGCAGCGTGGCCATGCCCCCTGGTGGTGATTTCTCGCTTTCTGTCTCTCTGTCTCTGTCTTTCTGGTGAGTGCATGCACCCTATAGCAAAAAAAAAAAAAAAAAAAAAATTCAGAACTCTGACTCCTAGCTTCACAAATAGCTGGTTTAGTAATTATATTATTTTCTTCCGTAAATACTTGTTTGGTATGTATAGAAGATAACCTATCTGATAATAAGCTTTGAGAGCAAAATAAATTGGTGCTCATTGTTAACCTATCTACAAAGTGTGAGCTAGAAACAGATTGGTTACTCAAAGAGCCAGTTTCAAACAGTGCTGGAAACTGTATGGATCACGAACTACACATACTTAGGAGATGATTTCATCAGAGTTTCAAAAAGAATTTGAGCTTCTATTAAAGGCAGTAGGGCTTCAAAAGAAAACCTAAACCTTGGAAAACTGGACTTACACTAAATCAATTCAAATATTGAGTGTTTTGAGGAATTTACACATCTGATGTCCATTTTTTAGCCCAAATAATTATAGAGGACCTAAACTTAGAAACAAAAATAAGCCTCTAACTATGAAGATAAGCCATAAATTTGTTGGTAGGGGGAAAAAAAGGCAGTAAAACACTGGCACTTTCATGACAATACTCCAATTTCTGGGACGAAAGTCGTATCTTTGATGTGGCAAAAGAAAGGCATCTATCTGTGACAAACAAAAATATCTTTTTCCTTACTTTAGTTTGGCTGTGAAGGCCCAATATAGAAACTGTTTCAAGTTAATTAAGAAGTGCAGTGATTTAATGTTTGAAAACCTACATTTTGTTAGTAGATTACTAAGACTCTAAAATAATACATATTTCATGTGAGAAGTTTTGTTCCAAAATAAATAATAGCAGCCCTAATACAGGCAACAATTTATTACATGAAATTTAAGAAATTAAATGACAATGTGTATTTTAACCATATACTTAAATACAGTTATAAACAGACATGGTTTTCCTTGAATATACAAAATATTAAAATAGACTTTAAAATCTTTTTCTAAAAGAGATGGTCACCAGAGAACACTAATTTTTCCAGAGTTAGAATCAGAGTTAGAGTGAAGATTAGAAGCCATATCACCGGATTTCTACTGGCGCAGGAATACTAGTTGTTAAATATGCAGAGGACTGGGGGGCCCAGCCAGACAAGGTAGGTTATGCTGCTCTAACAACTTCAAAGCTTACCCTGACTTATTATACGAAAAGTTTACTTCTTACTCAGGGGCAAAAACAGTACAACTGTCTTCAGTGTAGAAGCAAAGTATTCCTGGACACTGGGTCTGACGACATCTTCGACTTAGTATTAACACATGCCTGGACAACCACCACATAGGAGAAAAGCCTGAAGAATGATGCTCTGCCTTTGCTTTGCCTTTTATCTTTCTTTAAAAAAAAATTATTATTATTTTCTTTCTTTCTTATTTATTTAATAAACCTTATTTAGCTATTTATTTTAATTTGACCAGAGAGGGACAGAGTAAGGGGGGGGGGCAAGCCACCAGGTCCAGGACTCAAACTGCAGTCAGCCATGTGGGAGTCTAACACCTCTAATTCCCAAGTCACCTGCCGGCCCCTCTTTCTTTTTTTTTAAACAACAACTCTCTTTATTCAAAAAACATTGACAAAGTGATTTTAGTTGCAATACTACAACTGAAATACAACAATGCCCCTGCTTGCCTCTGGTCACATCTCACTAGTCAAA